CTGCTTATGTTCCTGCCAGAGCACTGTACAAGCAGGTCATACTCAGCGAGGGCTTGACAGCTGAGCAAGCCAGGGCTGAATTCAACACATGTGAGCTGGCAGGGAGAAGGCTGACCCAGGGAAGCTCCCTCATATCAAACCCCTTTTCGTACACTAGACCAGCAGAAGTCAGCGTTACAGCTCTTGCCTAGAAGTTGGAAGTCATTTTATTGCCCTCAAGTAAAATGCAGGAGGTGGCATCACATGCCAAGCCACAAGGAGGCTCCCAGCTCCTTCAACTGAGCCAGCAGCTTCTAAGGTAAGCATGCTCCATCCATTAGACAACTCTCCATACCCACACACATCCTTGCACATGCACCATGGGATTATTTTGGCCTCATGTGACCAGCAATAAGAGATCCTGCTATTGACTGAGCTGCATCCTGCAGTGCCTTGGGCCACAACCCCAATCTCTGAGGTGACTGTTGCTGTGGTACCCAAGCACTGGCTCTGCTGATACAGGAGGCAGACCACAAGAGGTGAAAAAAGGCTGCAGTGAAAAGGTAGGGAAAATGACTCCCTCTTGCTGATCCTGACCATCCATGCTGCTTAAAACAAGACAATGTGTCTCTACATCATTCCTGGTCACACCACCATCGGTGTGTGACCTCGGGTGAGGCACTCCCCTTGTGCCTCAATTTCCCCATCTGTAACACAGCATGACGAAGCCAGCTAATTTGTACAAAACACTTAAGACCCAAGGAAACTGCATGTCACCACCATGCACCAGAGTAGTGCCAGCTGACGGGCGTGGGGAGCCAGTGCTATTCTGTAACTACTATGACAAAACCAAGACAGGCTGCTCTTGTCGACTTGCTTCTCCACCAAGTGAGATCCATCTTTGACAGCAAAAAACCTAGTTACTTGGAAAGGTGATGCTTCCCTTCCCTCTGAAAGAGACAGAAAGCCTGCCAGAGCCTTTGAAGCTCAAAAACCATGACAGCATCACTGGAGAGTAAAGCCAGGGAGGGCAAGACACCTGCCTGGGAACACATCCCATCACCTTGGCACTTACCGCAAAAGGATCCTCACACATTGCTTTGTGGATAATGTGTGAAGGCTCATTTCAGACAGAACAGAAAAATCAATGGCTGAGCTTTATTTCTGGCTCTAAAACCCTGCAGCCAAGCACAATGAGAGCATTCAAAAGTCACGTGCTTCTGCTACCCGATGGCAAAACAAGGACCTACTTACATTTATGAAAGCAAGTAAAAACCCAGATTCAGTTAAAGAGAAGGGAGAGAATAGCTCAAAGCAGCTTGCCTTGACTTTGATGTACAATGGCCTAGCTACAAACAAGTCACCTTCTCTGCTGAGAGGGGGTGATTTCTTTGTAGAGGAGCCTTACTCCTCTCTCCTCTACCAAATGCTAGACTTTGGCACAGACCTGCCGCATCACAGCCACTTGGCACAAAGAGTGGCTGGGTCTGCAGGTCGCAGTGATTGAGAGGGTGGCTAAGAAAGGCTGCCTCTGGCCAAAGAAACAACTCAACTTCACTACTTTTGTCTGCATTTCCACACCTTAAGCAGCAAAGGGCAAAACACCCCAGGGTTTGTATTTAAGGAACCAAGCCTGTCAGCTGCATCACCCCGACTCTCTCCAGAGCCACTGTCTGACAGCCCCTGCGCAGAGCCAAGCTGACAGCTCCCATTAAACTTCACACACCGAAAGAGGTCACTTTCCTTTGAGGGCCTGCAGAGCCAGTGGTGCCACAACACCTATACGACATGACAGATGTGATAAGCCAAGATGCTAGGCAAAAAGGCAATGCAGGGCTCTCGCCTGCAAGAGCAGGCCCACGAGACCAGGTCTGCCGGCCTCAGAGGTGCCCGTCAAAACGCTCCCTCAAGTCTGGATGCTGAGCTCATGGGGACCCATGTTGGCAGCTTGCCCCGGATACACCTCTACTGGCTGCCGCTCCAGGGAAGCTCCCACAGCTGGAAGTGCGTCACCCTGCACCAGCTTCAGCCCTGCCAGCGCTGCTGTCCGCCCACCCGGGCACTGTGAAACAGTTCTCCACCAGCCCCACGGCCTGCTCCAGCCCCGGGACTCGGCCCGACTGCCTCTGCTGCCCCAGTCTGCGGCTCGCCGGGAGCATCTCCAGGGCAGCCGAGCCCGGGGCAGCAGCGGTGAGGGGGGAGGAGATGGGACAGCCACTGGCAACAAGTGAGCCACTGCGGGCGGAGGAGTGACCCCTCTCCCGGGGCCCCGGGGGGGAGAGCGGGCCGGGCCCTGCTGCCGCACGGAGGCCGCCGCGAGAGGGGTGGAGAACACAGGGGATCACGGGGG